GTGTGCATTACAAACATACCAAGGAACTTGATATCCTAAACACTGGACACTATTAGCTTCATCGACTTGGTATTTTAATCGACAACTATTAAGGCTCATGTCAATTATTATTCTTATCCATTACCATTGCATGTTCATCCTACGTTATCATGTCCTCAACAAACAGTACTCACGAACATGTTATGCTATGTTTTAGCTACCTACAAGTAGCTAGGGCGGGGGGGCTTTCTTCTCTGGGCGAGTTCGCTATCACCGCAATTCATTCTGCCCAATTCATTCTGCCCAAGGGTTTCTGCCCTCATTCATTATCGCTGGGTGTGTCTGCCAACCGCCCTGTTCTGGGGTCTGTGTCCGCTAACCACTTTGTGTTTGTGCTTAGGGGTTTGAGTCCGCTAACTGCCCCACTTAGTTTGAGGGGTGTGTCCGCTAACCACCCAATTACCTTCCTTGGGTGTGTCGCTACCACCCTCTCTCGTTGCTATCCCAGGGAGCACCCAGAATCCATAGTCCCATTTACTGCCAGATTTTTCTTGTTTTTTATTCATGCAATTAGAAAGCGAATTGTTGTTGAACACAAAACAATTGAAATTTTTATTTCTTCAAAAATGAAAACTAGTCGTAAAATTGTGACTGAAAAGAAGGAAGGTTTAGTTACCAAACATTTCGTCTTGAATGCATGCAAGTCAATTCAAGTCAAGTTCATAGTATATTAACACTTAGCTTTTGTGAGGACAATCTCACCCGGCTAGTTTGCAGGTATAACACACAAAGTAAAAGTAAAAAGAACTAAATTGAGATAACACCCTCAACAAAGATACTTAGATAATATAAGATTAAAATGTAAGATTTAAAATCTATTTAAGTAGGACTACATATAACTTTTCATAAAAGGATATTACGTTAAGACTAATAAATAACACAAGGTATAAAGTTTAACGATCATATCAGACCTGACAAGTCTGCGATCATATTGGTCACAATTTTGAGCCCTGTAGAAAGTTGTTTGCCTTAAAATTATTACCAAAACTTTTGGGTAGATGTGAAAGAGTGAAAACTCTCTTTGTTGGAAGTTGTTATGTAGGGAGTCAAACAAGGAATTTCAGAGGGTTGAAGTAAAAAATGGAAATCCAGAAGAGAGGTAACAATTTCGGAATTTGGAAGGCATCAGAAGCATTTTGGAATTTCCGAATGCAAGAGGGGATTAAAATATGGAAGCCCTCTGCGGTTGGGTATGGATATTTTCCGGAATTGCCCTTTTGTCACACTCAGAGCAATAGGTCACTTTCATCATATTAAAATTCAGCTTGATAGTGAGGTATAGAGGACACAAACAAAATAAATGAATAAACATGTCATTCAAGCCTCTTTGTTTGTGTCCTCTAAGCCTCACTGCCAAGCTGAATTTTAATATATCGAAAACAGTCTATTAACATTGAATGTCAGTCAACTCAGTTCCAATTTCTCTTGCATTTATTTAGGGCGTCACATGGCATGCCAAAAATGGCAGCCATATAAATACATGTTGATAATCAGGAAACATTGCCTGTTTGTAGCAGGCAGGTTTCCATCCACTCCCATTCAAACTATTAGTTATCCGACAGTGCCATAACAACTAACCTCTGCATACTTTCAGAGAGTAAACCTGCACATTAAGATATCTTTGCCGCTTTGGTATAGTAAGTTTAAATAAGCTTAAATAAGCCAAACCTCTGGTTCCATCGATTTGGGCATCTCTG